GCAGTTCGGCGAATACAAGGCTAGCGAACTCAATGACGGAGGCCACGAATGCACTGTCGGGCGCTATTTTGACCTTGGGCGAAGGTTTGAAAGCCACCGCCGAAGCTTTCAATAATCTAGCCAACTCCATAAATAAAATATAAATACATATGTACATAAAGTGGTGGGAAAAATAATTGAAACCAAAAACGTTGAGAAGTGTTGGATATTTTTCTTTTGTTTATTTAATGTTTAATAATTTTTTATAAAAGGGTAAACTCACTAAATAACAACTAGCATACATGTAAATCAAAACTTCAAACTTTGTACAGAATTCAAAAAAAATCCAAGTTTTAAAAACTTTGTAATAAGAGTTTTCTGAAAAATTCTGAGTACAGAGTTTTGAAGCTCATTCAATTTTAGCGTAACAATGTGCAAGTTTCAAGTGGCTAACATTTTTCAGAAAACTCTTATTACAAAGTTAAAAAGCTGTATACTAAGTTTTTAAAACTTGAATTTTTTTGAATTCTGTACAAAGTTTGAAGTTTTGGTTTACATATATGCTAGTTGTTATTTAGAGAGTTTAACTTTTTATAAAAAATTATTAAAGATTAAATAAACAAAAGAAAAATATCCAAAACTTCTCAACGTTTTTTGTTTCTATTATTTTTTCCAATACTGAACATATCTACATCTAGTCTTAGAGAAGTTATCAAATTTTATTTAAATGAATGTTTTAATGGCCTTATTCATAAAAAATAAAGTAGGTTTAAAGAGCTTTATAAATTGACGTTTTCATACATTTTTAAATTTATAAACCTTTTATAAAGCTACTTTATTTTTTATGAATAAGGCCATAAGTCTTTATTTAACTTAACTTAACATTATACATATGTACCTGAATTTAACTTTTTGTTATTGTGTTATTGAAGTTTTATAATACCTTAAATAGTAAGATTTTTATATTTAAGATACTACAAATGTACCTACAGTAATGTGACCACGTCAACCGATTTCGATAATTCTTTTTACATCGGAAAGGTAGTGCCTCAGAGGTGGTCCCATACTAATTTGGTTTAGATCCGACCGTTGGATCATGAAATATATATATACACATATATAATTTTTTTTTTATATGGGAATTGAAGTCGGTTTTGTTTTTTGCTTAAAAATTACCCGTTTTTCTTTGGTTTGTTTAATATTTATAATATTTTTTTTGATAAAAATGCAGCTCATTATCTAACAAAAACCATAAGTGTAAATTTCAAACTTAGTAGAAAAATTTGAAAAATTCAACAAAATTTTACAACTAGACACTTTTTATTCAGAATATGTAGAAAAATTCGAAGTATGCAGTTTTATAGCCCATTAAATTGGAGCTTGATAAAGTGGAAGTTTCAAGCAGCTAAAAATT